ATCCAGACCCATGAAGAGTAATTTTAGATGATTGGCTTTAAGGTATTTATAGGATGGTGTGGTAAAAGTTGATAGGTTAAGAAACATTTATAGTGTATTGTAATTAGGAAATAATTGGCTTCTGATTGTGATGCTGTGAATTATAACACCTGTATTTGTCTCACCCTTCACATGAGACTGAAAATGGAATAAAAGCTTTTAAAACACCTTCAGTTACCCCATCTCTGGGTCAGAAAGTTTGGGGCTGGGAGCCTGGCTGTGCTCAGCACTGGGGTTTGGATGGGGCCACCACAGAAGACACCCCAGGAGCTGTGGGGGCTGATTTTAGGTGGAGGTTTGCACCCATGCCAGTCAGACTTACACTTGAGAGGGAGCTTAGCTGGAAGGAGAGGAGGGAGGGAGGGACAGGAAGGCAGTTTTGCTGAGATGCTGCCTGACAGACACAGTGTGGAAACAGCTGCTGCTGGCTGCAGATGTAATGAGATCCATAAATACTGAGGTTTGCTCAAATAAACGCCAGCATGTGCTGTAAGGACGGGCTCAGGAGCTCCCTGTGCCAGCAGCAGCCACAGACAGCAGATTTGGGGGCTGGGGCAGGAGAGGCTCTGCCTCTGGAGAGCTCTGGGTTTGGGAAGGTGGCATAAAAACAGTGTGCCTGTTTGTCCCCAGCAGTGGTGGCTGTCACCAGGGCAGTCACCCAGCAGTGTGATGTGCTCTGGCACACATGTAGGTGGCTGCCTACCACCAGGTCAGGTTTTTGGGGCACTTTCTGGGTTCCTGAAAGTATCAGCATGTCCCATGTGCTCTGAGAGCTGTCCCTCATCCCAGCAGAGCTCAGTGCACCACATCCACAGGCTCCCAGGACTTTTACACTCCTGGGGCCATCCCAACACCCAGAGCCCCAGACTGCTGGGCACCTTTCTGAGCAGAGCCAAGGGACAGAGCCACGAGTGATGCAGCCAGGGATAAACTCACCCTGCAGGTGATGCCCTCATCCTGCATGGCTTGCAGTGCTTCCATGGGGGTGGAAGAGCAGAGACAAAGGGAATTCCAAGGCCCCTGACTTGTTTTGTGAGGGTGCAGCTCTGAGAGATGGCAGCTGTATCACAGATCCCTCCAAAAACACCAAAATTTCCCTCAGCATTGTCTTTATGCAGACAGAATGCCTCTAGAGCAGGATGGGTAAGGACAGGAGAGACCCAGGGCTCCTTGTCCTCTCCTAGGACTGTTCCTGAATCTTGTTTTGCTCCAAGCTCAGCTTAATCCATCCTCATTAAAATCAGTGGCAAGGGTGTCCTTTTGCTATTAATGCCAGTTGGGTTTGATTTTACATCCAACACAACGAGTGATTTTCTTTTTTCCTTGCAGACCTCTCTGATCTTTTCCCCCTCTCCTTTCAGCTTCTTCAGTCTCACAGCTTTTCTTGGAGGTTTTTTTTCCTTTTAAATCTTTCTCAGTTTCCTGAAATGCATCTTTCCATGTATCGATTTCACCTGAGATCTGAGGGAAGGCAGAGCAGGAGGCTCAGCTGACTCCCACGTACACTCACAGCTCATCAAAGCAGATACAGAGCCTTGTGAGAGCTGCTGGGGCAGCACAGCCCCTGGGCTTAGCAGCTGGCCCCATGGGAGGGAGGAATTAATCTCTTTAGGCAGCATTTTTGAATTTATGTATCCATACACGCTCCTGGTTGCATCAAGTTATCACTCTTGCTAGAGCATCTTTCTTTTCAATCATCTGAACATGCTGTAATGGCACTTCTGGGAGTGTGGGCTGGAGGTGGGGGAAGGGGAGTGCTTGTGAGAGCGAGTTTTGGGTTTTTTATAAATTCCTGTTGCAGAGTCACTGCTTAAAATGACTTGGAAGCAAAAGAGAGATGGTGGGGGAAGAAGAAGACGAGGTGCTGGTGGCCCAGGGAGCAGCGCTCACCCCTCTGGGGCTGTGAGGCTGCAGCAAGCCACGATGCTGGCTGTGCCTCAGTTCCTCTGCCCTGCTTGTTCCATAGCTCCATGATGGAGAAGGCTCTGCCAGCCCTGTCACACGCCTGTCACCACCGTGTCTGGCTCCTTCCTGGAGACAGAATTCTGGCACTGTTTCTGTGGAGAAGTCAGAGATGAAATAAGCCCCCTCAGACAGTTCCTTTTCCCTCTCTGCCCTGCTACCCCACCCCATCTAAAGGGTCTCATCCTCCCTGTGACTGTGTTGCATTTCTGGGGGCAGATTTCTTCCTTACCCTTTTCCACAGGACCCAAGGCTGATTACAGAGCTGTGGGGCTCTTTCAGAAAGAGCAACATTTTTTTTTATTATTTATTATTTATTGCATTTCCCTGAAATGACCCCTTCAGTGGCACCTCCTTAAGAACAGCACTTGCCACCACACCAGACTTCCTTTCCCACCCAGCCTCAGGCTGGGGTGCTCCAGATCCCAGCCAGACCCAGGACATTTCTGGGGAGGAAAATCAAGCAAAGCTGCTGAGCAGGGAAAAACTAACAGAGGGCAGATTTCCCCTTTGCAGCTTGCTTTAAGGTGTTTGTTCTCAAATCCATTGGCAGCTCATCCCAAGCCATGACAGCAGCGAGGGTCCTTGGGTGCTCTAACACCACATTATTGTCAGTGGTGACTCCCTTTGTCTTCACATCTTCAGGATGCATGAGAGATCTTTCATCCTCCTCAGATTGCTTATTCCTCAGTCCCAAAGTCTTGGAGTTTCCCCCAGACAGAAACCCTCAGCAGAGGTTTGACTTCTCTGGGAGATGTCTTTGCTCAGCCCCTGCGTAACGTGGTTGCAAAGGGAATTGCTTTAGGAAGGGCCATTCCTTGCTCTCTCATTTGAAACATAACAGCCTGGGGTTTGGTTATTATTGCTGGTTTTAGCTGCTGTTGGCTTTTCTTTGTTGCTTTTTCTGATAGATGGCTTCAATTTTGCTGGCATATTGCACAGGTTTGCAAGCCAGATGTTGCTGCTGCAGGACGGTTGCAGGGAGGCGGGCAGGGAGCAGCTCATCTCACACACGGGGTCAAAGCCAAGGGCTCAGGGTGTGGGGGGCTGCAGCTGCCATCAGAGCTGCTGGTGGCATGGGGGTGAACCTCACTGGGGCTGCAGGCACCCCCCATCCATCCCCCATTCCCCCTGGGAAGGACGGGACCGTGGGAGGATCAGCTGTGGAGAGGGAAAGTGCTGAGCATGGGCTGGGAGGCAGGATGGATTTGTGTGCCACCAAGGATGGGGGTGGGAATCTGGGATTTTGTGTAGATGCCTTGTGAAGGCCTGTAACAGAAGCTGGACAGAGTTAAAGAATAAAGCAGGGATTTATTAAAAGGATCTCCTCATGGATCCACCTTGGGCAGCACCAGAGCCCAGCCAGGGCTGCACCCAAGATGAACCAAAATGGTCCCAAAATGCACAACCACTCAGAGGGTCTCTCACTTTTAGAAATTCTGCTCCATTTGCACTTTGGAGTTCATTGTCCAATTCCAGCTTTAGCCCAGGCAGTCCCATCCTTGTTTTTCTCTCTCCAGCCCACGGTGTTTGTGCTCCTGGGGTGAGGTTTGGATCATTTGTCCTTGGTGCCCAGCTGGAGCAGGAATTGTTTTGTCTCCCTGCTCTGTGCAGAGAGCTCAGCATCCCCTCATGTGAAGCCCAGACCCACAGGCTAAAGCAGCACAGAATCTGAAAAACATAAAAGCCAAAACCTGAGGCATCCTACTGTGTTGTAGGAGTGATGTGTGGGGGGGATGCAAGTGGGATGAGCAGGAGAGGGAGAGGAGGTGGGAGTCACTTGCTCCAAAGGCTTCTCCACCTTCCTGCTGTGCCTTGTTTAAGATGAAGGAGCTCAGGGTGTCCAGCCACCAAATCCTGTGGCTCTTTAGCAAATCACACCCAATCCTGGCCCAGGAGGGCTCTGAACTCTCAGGGGACCATGGAGCAGGATGGACCCTGGCCTGAGCCCCAAGCCCCTTCCCACTTCACTCTAGGAGAGCTTCCCAAAGCAGCTGCTGTGGGATGTCTTTGGGTGAAAGAAGGAAATTGCTGAGGTCAGGAGGCTGATGTTGCACATTTTTCTGTGGCACCAACTTGCTGCCTCCTTGGAAATCCTAAAAAATAAAGTCTTGCATCCTGGCCCTTGAAAATTCCCCTGTCCGACAGGAAGGGAGTGTTGTTACTCCAGGAATTCACTGTTATTCCAGGGAATTTAAGCCTCTGTGCAGGAAACCCCAGTGTGGGCAGGGAGGAATTTAAAGGGGTAGGGCATTAGGATGGTTGAGATGTTGCCGTGTTCCTGCCACTGCAAGAAGGGAGGTGGGATCCCATCCAGAGGGCAGGGCTTGAACAGGCAAAATGAATTTGGGCTTGGAGCACAAGCCCTGTGAGGAATGACTGAGGGAGCTGGGGGTGCTCAGCCTGGAGAAAAGGAGACTCGGGGGTGACCTCAGCACCCTCTACAGCTCCTGAAAGGTGGCTGTGCTCAGGTGGGGTTGGGCTCTTTCTCCAGGAACTGACAGAACCAGAGGACACAGCCTCGAGCTGCACCAAGGGAAATACAGGTTGGATATTAGGAAGAAGTGTTTTACAGAAAGGTGATAAAGTTCTGGAATGGCTGCCCGGGGAGGTGGTGGAGTCACCATCCCTGGGTGTGTTTAAACCAGCCTGGATGTGGCACTGGGTGCCAGGGCTGAGTTGTGCTGGGGCTGGGTTGGACTCAATGATCTTGAAGGTCTCTTCCAACGCAGTGATTCTGTGAATTCTGTGTGAATTATTCTGTGAATTCAGGTCTAATTCCAGGTAGATGGGCAGTGAAAAGAAGTGGGAGATCAAGGGCAAGCTCAGGTGTTTGCAGAATCAGATCGTTGTGGCCTCCTGACAGTAAATGCAAGGAGAGAAGGGCTGGGCCAGAGGCAGGAGGCTCAGGACCATCCTGCCCTTGATCCCCAGGACACCCCCAGAGCTCTGCCCAGGGCACTTTGGCACTGACCTGTCCCTCGTTCCCCCTCTGGCAGGGACCTGATGCCCAGGACGCTGGAGGGGCAGATCACCATGGAGAAGACGCCCAGCTACTTCGTCACCAAGGAGGCCCCAGCCCGCATCTCCTCCATGTCCAAGGGCACCAAGCTGATCGTGGTGGTGCGGGACCCTGTCACCAGAGCCATCTCGGACTACACCCAGACGCTCTCCAAGAAGCCCGACATCCCCACCTTTGAGAGCCTGACCTTCAAAAACAGGACTACGGGCCTGATCGACACCTCGTGGAGCGCCATCCAGATCGGCATCTACGCCAAGCACCTGGAGAACTGGCTGCTCCACTTCCCCATCGGGCAGATCCTCTTCGTCAGCGGGGAGAGGCTGATCAGCGACCCCGCGGGGGAGCTGGGCAGGGTCCAGGACTTTCTGGGCCTCAAGAGGATCATCACAGACAAACACTTCTACTTCAATAAAACCAAGGGCTTCCCGTGCCTGAAGAAGGCGGAGGGCAGCAGCAAACCCCACTGCCTGGGGAAGACAAAAGGCAGGACCCACCCTGACATCGACCAGGAGGTGGTGCAGAGGCTGCGGGACTTCTACCGGCCCTTCAACATGAAGTTCTACCAGATGACAGGGCAGGACTTCGGCTGGGACTGAGGCTGAAAGAAATAATTTAAGAAAAGGAAAATATAATATAATATATATATTTTTTTTACGTATCAGTAGAGAAGTGGGGGGGAAATATGGAAAAAAAAATAATAGCTGTGCTGAAACATGATTTGTTCTGATTGGATTTTCTTTTCTTTTTTTTTTTTTTAAATGCTGCTTTGTTTCCTTTCTTCTTGCAGAGAAGAGGTGCTGTGAACATCCAGAAAAGGAGGCTGTGAGCAAACAGCCTGGTCCTACTGACACGAGCAGCTTCCCTCAATGAGCCCGAGGTTTAGCCTTGCCTCTGTAAAAAAAACACAGGTGCAAAGTTTTTAGCAGTGACACGAGTGCTTGGGGTAGCTCAGAGTCTTCCTGAAAGTTCAGCCAGGTTTTGGCTAGCAAGGGCCATTTTGGCCAGACCCCACCACTTTTTACAATAAAACAAAGGTGGCTTAATACCTAATTTGACTTTCCAAACGTTCCCTTAGGGGATTTTTTTTTATTGCATGAAACATTTGGTGAATTTTGCTTCCACTTACCCAATTTTTTGTTTTATTTTTACCCCCCTTAAATCAAGCTCTTTCATCAGCCAAGCTTATTTTTCCTCTTAAGGAAGCCAAAACCAATAATCCTTTGTTTTGTTTTGAGAGAAAATAATTTTGGTAGCCAAAAGTGAAAGAACACAAATGATTCTTTTGACTCTGTAATGAAAATTGCCAGGTAGTCTAAAGGCCTCATTCACATGAGCTGGCTCTAGACCAGTGCTCCCTATTGCATCCCTTTTGCTACTCTGACAGCAAAATGGTTTTCTAAGGGCTTTTTTTTTTCCTAAGGGGGGCTCATCTGAAGGGATTTTGGGGATGGGAAGGAAGGTCCACACTGAGATGATGCTGGTGGCACATCCTGAAGGTTTTGGGGGGACCCACCATCCCACCAGGCATATGCAAGAAACTTCTTGGTGTCCAGTGCACGTGGTTTAAGCCATAATGATGAATGTTCTAAGTTGGGCCAGTCTTAAATAGACTGGAGGAAGGGTTGGTTGGGAAAAAGTGAACAATAATCATGTCCAGAAAGAGGAATGAGAAGACAATAGTTCTTTCCTAAAGTAGAGATGATGGGGGGAGCTGGAAGATTGTGAAGGGCTTTAAAAACTGTCAGGCAAAACCTTTACCTCGTTTTTTTTAGCTGGTGGAAATGTTTCAGTGGCAGAAATCTGTTAGTGAAGCAGGGTCTTTTATTACCATGGGCTCATTTATCTGCTGGCTCTTGATTTTCAGCATTTCCGAGCTGTGGGAGTGCCCAGTTACACCTCGGTACTGCACAAACCACATGGCAGTGCTCCTCTCCTGAGCCCAGCTTTGGAGAGTACCTGAGGGGGTAAAACAAACCTGTGGGGATCCCCCAGGAATGTGGTTAGGAAGAAAGCTGGGGATGAAGTTCACTGGCTGCCTGCATACCAGGAAGGATATTAATAAAATCCCAGCAGAGCAGAGATTTCAGAGTCCAAAGAGAATCGGATCAGAAGTTACAATTTCACCTGAGGGGGAAACATTTCCACCTTGGCAAGTCAGGAGAAGGGTTTGGTGACCCACTCAGCCTCATGGCACCTCTGCATGTGCTGAGCTACAGCTTCTCCTGGCTGCCCCAAACCACCTTTCTACTCAGCCCTACACGTCTCCTTGTGTTCCCAAAGATCCTGGAACCTTCCTATGCCCTGAAGACACAAACCCACAGGGTTTTGCATGCCAGGCCCATTTCCCAAGGGAAAATTCAGCTTCATTCAGCTCGAGAGGCCCCAGGAGCTTCTCCCACAGTTGTCACTACAGAAATGCCTCAGCTGGATCTGCCTGTGCTGCTCAGAATGGGCATGAGGTGTAGCCAAAGGGATGGCAGGTAATTATTGGGACAAATATTCTAAGAGCAAATTTTTTTGGGACAGGAATGAGGGATGGACAGCCCCCCCATGCTGTGCTCTTCAATTCAAATGGAAAAACCAAGGTGCTGGTGAGGATGAGGCATCAGTCACTCACCCAGCAGGCACAAAATATGAGGTCTTCCCAGCTGAAAAGAAGATTTTAGCATGCTACTTCTTTGGTATTTCAAGGAGAATTAAGGTTGGGATAATTTGACAAGTTATTGTGGTTTAAGCCCAGCTGGGATCTCAGCCCCACTCACTCACTCCACAGGTGAGATGGGGGGAGAATTGGAAGAATAAATCTAAGGAAACCTGTGGGTTGAGATAAAGTCAATTTAATAGGTAAAGCAAAAGCTACACACACAAGCAAGGCACATCAAGTAATTAATTTCAGGCTTCCCATGGGTGCTCAGATGCTCATCTCCAGGACAGCAGGGCTCCTCACATTTGGGATGGTGACTTGAGAAGACAAACACCATCACTGCAAAAATTTCCTGCTTCATTCTTGCCCACTTTGATATGCTGAGCATGATGCCATGTGGTCTGTAATATCCAGAGCCACATTGCTCCCCTCAGGCTCAGCTGTCCTGGCTGTGTCCCCTCCTAGCTCCTTGTGCATCCCCAGCCTCCTCACTGGAGGAGCAGGAAAAGCCTTGATGCTTGTGCAAGAACTGCTCAGCCACAGTGAAAACACCCCTGGGTTATCAGTACTGTTCCCAGCACAAATCCAAACCACAGTCCTAGAAACAAAATGAACTCCACCCCAGCCGAAACCAGCAGACAAATATAAACATCACTTATGAGTGTGATGTTTTAAAAAATCAATATAGTTATATTGCTATTTTCTCCCATACAGTCACATTTGCACTACCATAAAGCAGCTTTATAGGGCCACAGACTGGTCTCCCCATATTGCACAACCTGCAGCAATACCAAGCATTTTTTTACAGCTGAATATCTGCACCTGCCACCAAATCCCTGCCATGAAATCAGGAGAGCCCTGATATGTGCACAAGCCCATCAAATGTGCCTTTAAAAACTCTTCCCAGCACATCAAGCTCAGCCACTTAGGAATACTTTCCCCTAAATGCTTCAGTGCTTTACTCCCTCTCATTTCCAGGGGTTTGAATACCTTGTTGCACACCTTGTAAAGCTATTTAGGGATCTGGGACTGTGATTGATTGGTTTTGATCTGGCCCATAAGTAGTTCTGAAAATCCCTCCACATATGAACAATGGCTTTTAAAAAGAGGTCAGGCAACCAAATTGCTTTGAACTCTAATAGCATTTAAGCCTCTAAACTCTTTAGGCTTATTTGAAAATCCAGCCATGAAGTTTAGATTATTTTAACCTAAGAAGAATTGGAGGTAAACTATTGAAAACCACATCCCTTCTGGGCCTACAGCGCTGAGCACATGTATTGGAGGGGAAATCAAGAGTAGCTATAAATAAAAAAGTGTTTTTCTTTAAAAAGAAAGAGGCAGAAAAATCAAAACATTAACTATGAGAAAATAATTAGGTCATTAAAATGCTTCTGGTCTCAATAATCAAATCTGCCATGAGGCATTGATGAAGCTCAGGCTTATATGCGATGCAACGTTTGGATTTTACAACAAATCCAAATTTTGGATTTAAGAACCCACACCAACCTTTACAAGGCATCCTGTCAGCATCAGGTGCCAAATTGATCATAAGGAAATTTTATACAATGAGGGAGGTGAGGCCTGGGCTGCCCAAGGTGGTGGATTCCCCATCCCTGGAAGTGTCCAAGGCCAGACTGGACTTGCAGCAACCTGGGATGGTGGAAGGTGTCCCTGGAATGAGATCAGCTTCGTGGTGCCTTCCAATCCAAACCATCCATGGTCCCATGATCTTTGAGGAGACACACAGCCACAAATGGCACCAGAGCTCTTCTGGACCACCAGGAGTGTGGCCTTGGGTGTGCTGAGCACCAGGATTGCCCCAAAGTCCTCAAAAATAATTTTTTCCCCCATTGCTTTTGACATGCTTTGGCAGAGGTTCGTAGAGTTCAGAAAGGTCACAGAAGGTGAGATCTCCCTTTAATCCATCAGCAACAGCTTTCAGCCAAACCTGGAAGGTGGGGAAGCTCTTTGCTCTCTGTTTCAACTGAAAAACAGAGAAATGGGGTTTTCTTTACCAGTGCCGTTTGGCAAGGCAATACCAGGTCTTTGTGCTGCTGTGAAATCCATCACTGCCATTCCTGGAAGGGCAGGGATGGGGCTGCTGTGCCCCTGGTATCCTTGGTGCTGATTTTGTGCCGTGGGGAATTTTATCAGCTGCTGTGGAACTGCTGCCACTCCATGATCTGCACAGCTAAAAGGAGTTTATTCACCAGGGTGCCCTGGAGATCAGCGTGTGAGACTCCTCTGCCTGGTGTCAGGGTGGCCTTTGGGTGCAGCACTAAGAATTTTCCAGCAATATTTTGGCCTTTCCTACCCTGAAAGGTGATTCTTGCACTGATTCCAGGGTGATTCTTGCACTGATTCTCAGTTCTCCCACATACACACTTCACACTTCACAGCATCAAGTCTCCAGATGAAGGGGAAATATTGCCCATTTTCCTAACCATTAAAACATTCCTTGGTTGTAGACAGCAGTTTCTGGGTTTTCTCTCCTCCCTCCCCTTCACTTGGTGATACTGTCATCATTCTCCCTTTGGTGCTATTTCAGTATGAAAAAAAATATTTTAATTTAATTTAAGAATGAAAAAGCACACATTTAATAAAGTTTACGGGTACTGAGAGGCTGTGCTCTCTTTTTGCTGGTGGCAGCAACCTGGAAAGAGGGGGAAGGTTTATGAAAAAAGGGGGAAACCACAAAATTACCCATTTGTGTCTGATTTTAGTCTCCTAAACCTAACTCATTCCATGGCTCTGCCTTCTGTGAACTCCCCAGTGGCATCACTGGCATTGTTCCTGTGACCTCTTGTTTTCCACCACATCCAGGTCAATGCTTTAAATTGCAAAAATCAAGGTCAATGCTTGAAACTGCAAAAATTCCTTTCTTTAAATTGTAAAAATCCTCAAAAATTCAGGTCTCCCTGTCTCCCCCAGTGCTCACCCCTCTGCTGTCCCTGGCCCTGCCACATCCCCAGCATTTCTCCACTGAGATGGAACAATTCCTGCTTCCCCTGACCTGGGCAGCTCAGGAATGGTCCCAGCTCACAGCGTGTGAAACCTGAGGGGAAAGGAATTCCTCAAGAAATATATACAGTGGAGAAGCCCCCCTGTATCAGGTTTGCTGTGTGGTCAAGTAAAATGATATTCTATTTACTTTTTTAGATGTATAAACAGATTAAGTCCCAAGGAAAATATGCTCCCAAACTTCATAATATTTTACTAAACCACCGAAGTTTAATATAATCTTTGGGCTTCCACAGAAAAATTTTCCATTTCTTTTCTGAGCACGTTTGATTTTATTTTCTTTTAATTACGGTTATCCGGAGTTAACAATCTGGGGTTTGCACTCCACCCAGAAAGGACTTTCCAGATTAGAAGTGGGGAATTTTGCTGAAATACAGAAATATCAATGTGGTGGTAAGAAGTCATCGACACCTGGGCAGAAAACTCTGGAGAAGGCAATGTGCAGAATTAATTCTGCTCAGTAACAAGGCTGCATTCCTCAGTTCACAGCATTTATTACCTAAAATATTGGCCAGCCATGGCTTTTGTGAAGAGTTATACCTTCTTCATCTTCTGCCTGTCTCCAGCACTGCCCTCGGGCTCAGCACTCATGGACACAGCTCTGGATCCTCATCCATCGGGGTGTGAAGCTGCAGGAGAAATCCAACATCACACCAACACACACAGCTTGGCCCCTGACCTGGCCTGGCTCGTGGGGAAAGCTGCTGGGAGCCAAGCAAAACCCCTCAGGAAAGACCCAGCACCTGCATTTCCACATGGTTAATTAGGAATAATAATGGCCATCGTGGTGTCGTGGTTCTTCAGACAGCTGTGTGACTTCTGGAGGCCAAATTCGCTGGTGTGAGCGTTCCCCGAGGTCCTCAGTGCAGCAGAGGAACTGCAAATGTTGCTTGTCAGCCCCACAAATGTGTCCCTGCAGCTCAGATCAGCTCCCAGGAAATGGAGATCAGCCCTGGAAGTGGAGATCAGCTGCTGGAAGTGGAGATCAGCACCCTGAAAATGGAGATCAGCTCCTGGAAATGGAGATCAGCTCCTGGAAATGGAGATCAGCACCCTGGGAATGGAGATCAGCTCCCTGGAAATGGAGATCAGCTCCCTGGAAATGGAGATCAGCTCCTGGAAATGGAGATCAGCTCCTGGAAATGGAGATCAGCACCCTGGGAATGGAGATCAGCTCCTGGGAATGGAGATCAGCCCTGGAAAAGGAGATCAGCCCTGGAAAAGGAAGGTCCTTCTTCACAGACACACCAGCCTCTCTGAGTTTCTCCGTGAATGCCGAGGCAGTGGTGAGGATGTAGGTTAGACTTGCTTGGCCAGAGTTTCTCCAGCTGATTTCTTTTGTTCTCCCACCACCTGCTTTGCTTTAGGGCTGTGAGCAGCAATCTGAAGGAAATGAGATGTGCTGGCTGGGGAACTCTTCCCTTCCCTGGTACAGGCTGATGGAAGAGAATCAATAGATTTTCCATCCAGCTCACTGCTGGGCACACAGGAGGTGGCAGGGGAGTGGGAACGTTCTCCTGAGCAGGACAGGTTTCAGAGCACAGAGGGAAGAGGCCAAATGCATCCTATTGACAGGGCAAACACAGTCACCAATTGAATTATTCACCTTTCTGCTTGCTCACACCTCTCCAGGGCTCTGCCAGTGCAAAATGAGCACCAGTGCTTTTCTGGGATCCACGGCTTTGGGGTGTGCAGTGCTGTCTGTGCCCTGAGCAGGGGCAGGGCTGGGGGAGGCAGCAGGAACATCCCACCAGGGCTCCCAGCAGCATCACCAGACCTGAGGGAATGCCAGGAGCCATTTCCCTACTGGGTTTTAATCAGCTCTGTTAAGTTCTGACAGGGTCTGTTGCTCCTACAGTCCAAGAACTGCAATTTAGGGGCACATCCCCACCCACCATAGGAATGGTAAAAAGACAGAGGAATAATAGGAATTATAAAAGACAAAACCATAGGAATTATAAAAGAAAAAAACATAGGAATTATAAAAGACAAAACCAATGGCAATGATACACCACGACTTAGAAACCCCCTCACTGCTCCCCTTTCCTTTGATTCAAACCCAGTATTGTCCAGAGACCAAACTCCTCCATTTTTCCACAACGGGAAGATTCAAGGTGAAATGAAGAAATTATTTGTATGACTTCTCCTGGGAGCTGCTGGGGCTCAGGGCAGGGCCAGCTCTGCCTGTATAAATTGGATATTAACCCTGTACATCTGAGTGAGCAAGATGTGAGCTCTCCCTGACCTGCAGTGACCCCCGTGTCTGGAAGATGCTGCTGATGTAGTGAAGGACTGCACATACACATCTGGGATCAGAGCTGGGCTCTCACCAGCTTAGAAAAGCTTGTAAATGGCAGAATTGATCTTTTCCCAGCAGAGCCTGGTCCCGGATGCAGCATTCCACACCAAATCCCAGAATGGTTTGGGTGGGAAGGGACCTTAAACCCATCTCATTCCACCCCCTGCCATGGGCAGGGACACCTTCCACCATCCCTGGCTGCTCCAAGTCCTGGCCTTGGACATTTCCAGGGATGGGGCAGCCACAGGGATCTGGGATTGCAGGGAATGGGCATCCAAAGTCAGAGTGTGATGTCTGAACCACCTGAACCCCTGTCAGACACGATGTGCCCTGGATGGGGAGGGTACCGGGGCAGGGAGGGGCTCGTGGTGCTTGTTGTACCCTGGGCATTGTCACTCCAGAGGGCAATGCCACCAAGGAGCCTGCAACCACTGCCTGGACAGCCAAACATCCCACTAGCCTGGGAAATTCATCCTGCTCTGACACCCCATATTTTACCAGCTTCCCTGAAGAGAAAATTGTCATATGCTTCCACTTTTCGAGGAGCTGAGCTGTCCTTTTGATAGCAGCTGCCAGCATAAATATACATGAGAAACAGGTTTTCAGTTCCTGAAAAATGTCTAAAAATTGTAAACAATCCTCAAGTCATATGGGGATAAACAGTCAGAATTTTAATATTGTTTATAGTTTAAAAAAGCAACAGTTGTCTGAGTCGAGTCAAGCCAAGTCCTTTTGAATAGATAATTTTCAAACATTTGGTTTCAATTCTCCCAAACCTTCAGCAGAGAAGTCCCATTCATGGAATATTTAGCTTACAATTCAAAATGAAAAGTATTATGGAGTAGAAAACTGGATTTTCTATTTCAAAAAATAAATGGCCTCGGATACTGAACCATCTTGAAAACCCTTTTTAGAAAAAAAAAAAAATAATAAAAAAAGGAGAAACAAAACCACTCAGCCAAGTTTATCCAGGCTGTTCTTCCCCTGCTGAAAATCCCAGTTTTGCTAAGTTAGTTGTTTGTTTCACTTAACAAACAAGAATATTCCATCAGAAATACAGTCCTGCTTGTCAGGCTGAGAGCAGACAGGTCCCTCCCTGTCCCCCACTCCAGCACAGAGGTTCTGGAACTGGCCAGAGTGGAAAAGAGAGTTCTTTCATTTCCTCTTTGCATTAGAGCTCATTAGGAAAAATCCAAAGGCCCCTCATTGTGCCTACATTTGCATGTTTTCTGTTGATGTTTAAATTATATTTTCCTGTGGTTGTTTGTTTTTTTTTTTTCCCCCCGTTTCATGTGTCTTTCCTGTATCATTGACACTGGATTTCTTCCCTGCTCACAATTAATTCCTGAAATAATTTATTTCACTTCCGTCACTGTTCCTCAGCTGGGTGGCTCACACAAACGGAATTTGGTAGTTGTGTTGGTAGGAAATTATTTATTTAAGCTATTTGTTGGTATTAGAGAATAATAAGTTACATGGCAGGACTCCTTTTCCCAGGCTGGATAAGACATTTTTCAGGAAGAAATGAAAAATTTCTAAAAAGCTTTACTGGATGCATTTTAGATGCTTCACTCCCCCTCCTAAAATCATAATTAAGATTATGATTCTCCTAAAAGAATAATTAAGTTTGGAAAAGCCCTCTAAGATCACAAAATCCAACCATTAACCCAGAACTGCTAGGTCTACCACTAAACCATATCCCCAAGGGCCACATTTGCACATTTTTATAACACTTCCAGTGATGGTGATTCCACCATTTCCCTGGGCAAAATATGCACCAGATCTGATGTTTTTTTGAACCAGAATTTAGTTCTTTACTCAGAGGGTGCCCAGAGCAGCTGGGGCTGCCCCTGGATCCCTGGAAAACCAGGTTGGACGGGGCTTGGAGCAGCCTGGGACAGTGGAAGGTGTCCCTGCCATGGCAGGGGGTGGAACTGGATGGTCTTTAAGGTCCTTTTCAACAAAAGCCATTCTGTGATTCTAACAAATCAATTGACATTTTGGTTTGGATTGTTGTTGCTGTCCTCTGACCCAGATTTCCTAGATGCACACGAAGGGGTGTTCGTGTGGGAGACTGGAGCATTTGGAGCTCTGGCAAACCCTCTGTGCAGAAGATCAGAGAGTTCCTGCCCTGAGACCCAGTGGAGGCAGCAGAAAGAAAGAAAAAAAGAAAGAAAAAATTCAAAAAAAAGAGCTCCCAGATGTTTCACTTGACTTTCTATCAGGCTCTTTGCTACCTGTGTGGCCTTGGCAGAGCGCTGGGGTTTCGTGGATGTGAGCTCCCATGCTCCTGTTGGAT